ATTTGTGCACATTTTCATATGTCCATATTTTGTTAAATTCAAATGTGACAACGTGATCAAGGGAGACAAGGGGATGAAAACGAGGTAGACCTTTCTACTCGGACGCCTTTCTCACCTCAAGTGCCTCCAAGCGCGAGGATTTCATGCGGAAATTATGGAGGAATTAAAATAAATAAATAAGAATACTTTTCGTGCTTTGGGACGGTGACGGATTTCGCCCAGCAGCCGGAAGAGCGGACAGGTCTCATCCTTCTGGCTCCTCATAAGAAGCTCTCATTCAGAGCTTGGATCTCTTTCGGAATAACTCGCAGCGTTTCAAAGTTTTTTCTCGTTTCTTTCGTTCTTCCTATCTTATTATTATTTATTTCTTCCTCTTGGGGCTGGGGGCCCCTGGATTCTGCGTGGCCCCCCTGCGGCCGCAGGGGACGCAGGGGTACTCGCGCCGGCCCTGCCTCCATCGTACCTGCTCAGCCTACAGATCACATGTATTATTCAAGAATGCATGCCTTCATGGTTACTTTACTTTCTGGTTACCGCAGATTTCAAAGAAGAAAAAAGAATTTTTGGTTTTGATTTAAAATTCAAATTACTTCAGTTAAAAATTAGAAAGGTTCAATTTGAGTTAGGTTTAGCATTCCAAAGACTGATCCTGACCAATACCTCAACTATCCTAATTCATCATTTTTATTTAAAAATGCCAGGAAATTCATTTTTTAATTCTGATTTTGCCATTTTAAAGGAATAGGCATTCGGATTAAATGAGAATATCAGAAAAAGTAAGATTTCGATTTTAATGAGAGAAGGAAGGACCTTAGAAATTATGGTAGTTTTAACGTAACATCAAGATTATTCCCCTGCTGTTGCTGAATTTCCTGCAATGCACTCTTTAAGTTTCAGGTCTCGTGCTGAAGCAGAGAAGTAATTATGCCTTGCCACCACTTCATCGCCATAAAACAATTCCAATAAGAGGCACAAAGAATATCTACTGATATGTCGAGTACGAAATGATGTGACGGACAGAGGTGAGATCGGATGGGTTGCGACCAATGAGATTCAATCCAATCATTGGCGATTTTTTTAATGGTAAAAGGAGATAGGGTAAACAATCATAAACGCAACATTTCCCAACAATGATGACATACCCATTACATTGACATTAGAGCCCATCTCAAGATGTAATACCCCTAAGAAGAAAATTGTCATTTCCCAAAGAAAAAGGATGGAGCGCCTTTTTTGAAACACCCTATATAATGACCTTAAAGCCTGACAGGACTTCTGAGTTCCTGTGACCTATTTTGGGATTCATGTTTTTGTGGTTAATGGCCATGGTGGACCGTTGAATGAGGAACATTTTGTTACATCATTTATATTTTAAATTCATGAATGAAAGGGTTAAGCTAAGGTACTAGAGATATAGGACAGGGTGGCCTGGATACGAAACCCTCTATATGCAAATGCAGTCAATTCTGGGATACCTTGTATAATGCTTATTTTCTCCGTATTGGGGTTTGAAAACAAACAGGCCAAGCTCTAGGAAAAAAAAGGAGCCAGATTGGATAGATTTGTCTTGGAAAAAAACCCATATGCCTCAAGGGGATGCAAATTAGAAGAGCTGGGCTACACTTTGCTTATGGTCACTACTTGATTTCATTTAGGACTGTCATGTGCCTTCTCTTTTTTTGGATTCCAAAGGCCTGCGGTGATTTATGATTGATCTTCCCTACCTTCCTCAAAATAATCTGGCAAATCAGCGGTTCAGACAATAATCAAGAAGCTCCTATTTCCATCTCTGCATAATCTTGATGCGTAATCAATCGAAAACCACTCTTAATACTTGAACTATTAAGCTAAGGTTAATACTTACTAGTCTGCTCTCTTGACTCGTCTCGAAAGACTGAAACTCCAGTCGGATGTTTTAGCCTGAAGTTCCAGTAATCCAGGATATGTAGGAGCTAGTCCATGGTCAAATTTATTCCTAAGACATGCCTGTACGAATAAATTTAAGCCCAGACCGCAAGGCCGGATTAAGAAGTTGAGAGGTAGGGAAGATCAATCATAAATCACCGCAGGCCTTTGGAATCCAAAAAAAGAGAAGGCACATGACAGTCCTAAATGAAATCAAGTAGTGACTCCCCCCCCCCCCCCCCCCCCCCCGCTACTTCACGCAAATACAATAGTTCTTTTTTTTTAACCTAACGTTTTTAATTTCCTTCGGGGCCCCTGGAAGAGTGGGGCCCGGGGCAACTGCCCCCTTTGCCCCGCCCTGCCAGACCGTCACTCAGGGTTCAGAATCAACAAAAGAACACTTGTTGTGTTCTTTGTCCAACAGAAACGATTGGGGTGATACAAATGCTCAAACTAGCTAATCTCAGAAATAAAAAACTGACGAATAAACAGTACTGAAAGAAGAAAGAGACTGGGTTGCGAAAATACGATATCAAGCATATACGCTTCATGTTACCATAAATAGGCAGACTTACAGATGAAACTGAGGAAAGTTGAGGTTGCCAATTGAGGCGTTATCTTCAGAATATGGTCGAGAACCAGCGGTTGACTGATTATCCGGTAGAGGGTACTGATTTCAATTGCGGGTTCTATGTACAGGTCCCGCAGAGGTCGTAAGCCAGGAATGGTTGTCACTTCGTCTGTGGTGGAATAGGTTAGTCGCGCACTCCTACGAGGAAAGCGGATATCACCAAACGAAAGCATCTTCCCACCTACCCAAAGTTTTTGTAGGTGTAGGCTCATTGGATCTGTGGTTCCGTGAACTGAAATAGGTCTTCATGGGCCTGCCGTTTTGACACTAAATCCCGCGAAGAGAAAGCTGTTGAAGCACCTCATTCAAAGGGCTAGGCTTCTTGGCGTATTAATAGCTAAGATAGACTAGGCCTAGTATAGAACGATCATCGATCGGACTATGCCAAGCCAAAAGCCATGTCTTTTACCATAGTTCCATACTAGGCCCAGAAGGAAAGGGGTGGAGTTCTTAATTGTATCGTAATTCTTAACGTTAGAACCTCTTTGGGCTTCAGCCAAGAATAGACTAGGTCTGTTATAGTGGTTGGGAAAAAGATCGTGATAATGTATACTTTAAAAAAATCTCAAATCCATTATCAGCTACAATCCAAAAAATGGAACACTTTTGTTGAGAATTACGCCCAAAAAATGAGAAAAACTAATTTTTTATTCAACAGATTGACTGCCACCTACTGGTGAGCTAAAGGCGTTTTTCCTACAGGGCCATTAGACCCACCAGTGGACTAAACCCTGCTTCTGCTTCTAAAACTCTTGTTTATATTTTAGTTTGGCAAAAGGGTGTAGGCGCTTGTGCTGTGCCCTCAGAAGGGTGTCTACTGTAAGTAGGAAATGGGACTATGTTCACAAATGTTACATAACGTCTATTAATATCTTATGAAAGTGCAGTTTGTTATTCAAGTTTTCAAATAAGGTGGCATTTTTCTTATGCTTAAGGAACTCCTGCAAATATTGCAAAATTATGCTTTGCACTTCAAGACCCCTTTATCAAGGAACGAAGCCATAAATTGGGCATTTTATCTGGTACTGGTAATTAGTAATTACACAATTAGGGAGTGAATGTAGGAATATTACAATATTTTGAACTCTAATAAGACTATATATTTTAAAGAGAGCACTGCTTCTATCCTTGTGATATTTTAAGAATATGAGCAAAAATTCTAGTCAACATCTTACCAGATAACATCTCCCATGAGGATAGTGTACATCTAGCAGATCATGAAACTGATTGACAACTCAGCATGATAGAATAAACTAAACACACTTCAAGGTTTAGGACACTGGTGGGTCTAATAATCTCTGAGGTGTGTAACTCCACAAGGAGGACATAAGCTCAGCGGTATCCTAATGAAATCGATGCCAGTGATGTCATCAATATATTTGCAATGAGTACAATAATGAAAATATTATCTCAATTATGCCAGTTTCTTACTATGTGCTACAGGGTTAGCCAATAAACTATGTAAAGCTTTTGAAGTTGTTGGGTTTGCTCAGGTGCTTGCACCAGAACATTTTTATAACATTTGCACAGAAATGCCTGAAATTTTATGCACATGCATTAAATTTTCAGATGGATAAAACACTTATGAAAATGTCCTGTTAAGTTTTCATGATGATCCATTCACAGGAACTGATTTTCTGAGCAAAAATCAAATGTGAATTCATGCAGCACAATGGTAGTTGTATGCCAGTTCACTCAGAATTTTTAAAATAAAAAAAATCTGCCATAACTCAAGCATGTGAAATCATAGACACATTACATTTTAGAGTCTCTTGATGAACATGTTAGTTGACATTCCATTGAGTTTTCAAGTTAATTGGCTAAGAAATATGGATTTTAACATTTCAAGAGGATTACTTTATTTCAGCCAGTCCTGTTGGTTTAGCCTTGGAGAGGGTGTTGAAATGTACAAAAAAGGAGGCTGTGGCAGTTAACATGTTGGGTTTTTGGATGTGTACCATGTCGTGGATTTTGACATTTTTCACATTAGAAGGCCATTTCTAGACAGGTAAAAAATAGTAAGGCTGTTGGGTTTACCCCACTTGAGGATTTCTTAAAGATATACAACTTGAACTCTACATCTCTGTATTGGCATCTGCCATTAGCCAGATGACTAAATAATAAGTATAGAAGAAACAGATTTTTATTGATAGTAAACTTGTTTCAAAATTTGTACTTTCTTAAAATATGCATTAGGGTAAATACTTTAGATATATGTCCATGAATCATGGTCTTTAACATGTTGACCACCATAGCCATATTGGCCTGGTGACTTTCTTGGGCCAAAATAAATTTTTACATCCCTTGGAGATGGTGAAGCACAGGGTGCACTGGTGCGCCCCATCGTGCAGGAAAAGGGACTTAGTGAGGTGCACTATTGCACCCCATGGCAGTCAACCTGTTGGAAAAAAATTTTTTGAATACATTGTTACTTTTTTTTCTAATGAACTGTGAATATTATTTTCATGTTCTCTTTTTTTTCCAGATGGCTTTTGCATTGAGAAGTTCTCTAATGCTCCCAGCTCAAGTCTCATCATTCTTTGCCACCCGGATGGTTAGTAGGATTCATATTACTGGTAGCATTTACAGTGAAAACTCGTTAACTCGAACTTTTAGGGACTGGGCAAATCGTTTCGAGTTATCCGAAGTTCGAGTTATCAGGAATCGCCCCCCCCCTCCATTAGCAAATTTCAATTCCAAAATTTGCAAAAACATGCCGATTTTGGTGCAAATTCACCACAAAATGAACTCAGCCTGTATATTGATCATATCTACTAGCTTACCAATTTTCACATTGATCAGACCAATATTTTTAAAGATATTGTTGGACAATCAAAATGTGACACACTGACAGACAGGACAAGACTATAAGTGGTCTCTTTCCTTTCAAAAAAGGAGGCCCACTAAAAAGAGAAAGAGAGAAAAATCAAAGAAATACAGTGAAAACTCGTTAACTCGAATCCTGATAAGTCGAAATTCTGCTTATCTCGAAGTTCAAAGCTTGGTCCCGGCGGAACCCCGTAGGACACCATGTTAAATGCTCCGTTTAACTCGAATTCGCTTATCTCGAATTTCCGGATATCTCGAATGAAATTTTCACTCCCGATAACGAATTTCTCACGGTTAACTCGAATTCAGGGTGAGAAGGGGGGAAAAATTTTTCTCTTGGGACTTTT